GGTACCAGGGCCCAATTGCCAGGTCCTTAGAACAGGCTGCTGGGCCTTGTGTATACCATGCTCTGATCTCAGGGCCCCACAGAGATGCCAGGTAGACCGGGAGCCAGGAGGGGAGAATTGATTAGCAGAAGCTTTGATTGTGACCCCCACCCATGCACTCACCCACCTGTGCCAAAGCACAGTCTCCATCGCTGACTCATTCCCATCCCACAAAGGAAGGAGGCCGCAGGAGGTGACGGGACCATGCCCACTCCACCGCTGAGAAGCCTGAGCCTAGAGTGGCTCAAAGTAGAGACCAGTCCGGTGCTTGTTTCTGCCAGGAAGTACTGGTGCCGAGTATGGATCCTGGCTTCGTCACCTACCTGGCGGTGAGCCCCAGGCAACCACGTCTCCTCCCTGAGCCTCAGTGTTCTCATCCAAAAGGAAGCACATGAGAACATCCTTGTGATAGGATTAAATAAGAGATTGTGGGTAAAGTGTCTGGCCTGGTGCCTGGCACAGCCCTTGATAAACAACAGCTGTTACTATTATTGCTATATTAACCCTGGTGCCACCTGCCTCCTGCTTCTGCTTGAAAGGACACTGCACCAGGGGCAGCAAACTTGGGCTCAAGTCCTGGCTCTTACTTACCACCTGTAGATCATCTGTAGCCCTGTCACCACCACTCTCTAAGTCCCCTACTCCTGGGTAAACTGTAGAGGCCTGTTCACAAATGAATAGCTCCTGAAAGAAAAAAGGCCCTGTGGAGGTTCCTATGGAGGGTGACTTCCAACAGCGGCTGCATCGACCCTCACATCGATGTGACTTTGCAGCTCCTCCCACCCAGAGCTGGGTCTGACCTCCCTCACCTGAATCTAGGTGGGCCTGTGACTTGCCTTGACCAATAGAATGCAGCAAACGTAAAGCTGTGGGACTTCCTGGCCTAGGCCTCAAGAGACCTGGCAGCTTCCGTTTCGCCCTTCTTGGAGCGCTGAGCTACCATAAAGAAGTCCAGCTAGCCTACTTAGAGAGACCACGTGGAAAGAGAGAAGCCTGCTGTCCTCCAGCCCTTCCAGCCTCCCCGGCTCAGGTGACAGACATAGCCAGAAGCGGCCCCGGATCTTTCAGCCCCAGTCCGTTCTCCCCAGCTAACACCAGGCAGAGCAGAGATGAGCAGTCCTTATCGAGCCTGCCCAGATTATGAGCAAACAATAAATGGTTGCTGTTGTTTTAAACCACTAAGTTTTGGGGTGGTTGTCACGCAGCAGCTGATAACTGGTACAGTCCTTTAGCCCTTTCTGTACCATCATTACCCAGACTTGGCCTGGATGGGTGGAGCTCCTTGGCATCAGTTGTTTGGACGGGAGATGAGCACCTGACTTAGAGGCAGCACATCCATTGGCTGACAGGTGGCCAATCAGATTGTTTTTCCTCTGGAGACTATGAATGAAAAGATCAGAGATCCTAGCAAGGCAGAATATGAAGGCAGCTGAAGCTGGGGTTTGGGATGGGAGCTGAGGATGACTTTCAGCCCTATGCAGGCTGTCCTGTCATCAAAGGACACCAAACTGGGGAGAGGAGCAGGAAAGCTGATAGACCATGGAACCAGGTTCTGTGAGGGCCCAAATAAGTCACGTAACTCCAGTTGGTCTGCTCTGACCTTGCTCCTTATACCTCACTTCAGGCCCCAAAAGGCTCAAGGTCCCCCAGGACTCCTAATACTTGCCAGGGGTCTACATTGCTCCTCTGACCCCCTCTCCTTTGCTCCCTGTGACCTCCATCCCCCAAAACACACACAGGTTGTGGCCTTGTCCTCCAGGGCCCCAGGGCATGGCCACTCTTTTTCCATCCTGGGCAGTCAGGGCTGATAGCCTAGAGTCTGTTGCCATCCAACCCACACAGCCCCAAGGCCTTTCGTGGCAAACCAGAGGGTATGACCAGGTTTGGTTTCTACCCCAACCCCACTGGAGTTCCAGCTCTTTGGGATTCCCCATTATGTTCCCCACGCAGTTCCTGAGTTCAACCACCACTTCTCTGCTTGTCCATAATGATGTCATGATAATAACAGTGGTCACTGTTGTACACCAAACAGGTGCCACACCTGAGATGGTGTTTGAACCAGGGTCTGCCTAACTCCAAAGTCCATGCCCCATCCGCCACTCTGCTGTGTGACTCTAGGCAGGTTACTTCCCCTCTCTGAGCTTCAGATTCACACTTCTGACGGATAAGCCGGGGGGGTCATGGTGTTTTCTGCTCCCTCTAGTACTTACCCTGCTGGATGCTATCCTTGGCCCAGTCCACTCGCTTGTCCAAGGGTAAGCTCCCAGTCTTATCACCCTTTCTCTTTAAGGTATGCTGTATCCTGAAGGAACAGGCCTGGAGGCTGCCTCTGGTCTTGGTCTTCTGGAAAGCAGGCTAAACTCTCAGGATTCAGTATCTTGCCTTTTCCCCAGTAGCTTGGACCCAGGCTGAAAGGTGAGCAGAGAAGCCAGCTCCCTATAGGGCTTGACGTGGCAGGACACCCTGACTCCACAACCCCATTGGGTCTGAGGCAGACTGCGGTCATGTGGTGAGTAGTACCTGTGCCTTCTCTTTCTCTGTCGGAGGCTGCCAGGCCATGGAGAAAGTAACCTCTCCAGTCTGACTTTCCACGCTATTCCCCTTAAATCTGCCAGGATTCTTAGCAGTTGAGTTCATTACCCTCTTCTATAGATGAAGGTCCCACAGTTAGGAAGGGGCAGCATTAAAACCCAAGCTGCCTAGCTCCCAGCTTGGGCTTTTCCTGGGGCCCAGGCTCTTTGGCTTGGGCCTACCCAGCCCCCTGACCCGGGGTTCCCACATCCCTGTGAACTGACTCTCTCCCCCATGTGAAAACAACCTCACAATTTTCTTCTGTACTGAATTTCCTCAGGGGTCCTGTTCCTTCCCAGTAGCCGGGAAGATATTGGCCCTACTCTTACTAGAACCTCGTGAAGCCCGAGGGATCCCGGCATCCCAGATGGGTTAAGTAATAATCCCATGGGCTGCCTTCTGCGTGAGGTTGGTGCCCACCAGGGCATCCAGGGCTGTGGTGATGGAGAGCCTGTGATCTGGTCTCTCTCTGGAGATGGGCAGGCCTGTCGAGTTCTTGAAGCCTCATGCGATACCACTGGCCTCTTGTTGCATACAAACCACCCCCATGTCCAAGGACTCCTCTCCCTGCTCTTGAGGTCCCCAAAGTTGTCTCCTGCCAGATGGGGGTCCCCAGGCCTGGCCCTGAGAAGCCCTGAGCCAGGCTTAGGAGTCTGCGGCTCTGGAATTTCCAGGCCCTGGTCCTGTCACTTAGAAGCTGCGTGACTTTGGCTAAGCTACCACCCTCTCTGCTCCTGGCTCTGCATCACAGTTGGACCCAACAGTAATCATCACCACCACCAGTGGTAGAGGGTTTACTGAGTGCCAGGCACTACATCAACCAACAAATATACCTATGCTCCCTCATTTAACCTCCTAATGGCCAAAAGTCTTAAGATCATCTTCATGTTACAGATGAGAAGACCGAGGCTCAGAGGGGTTAAGAAACAGTCCCAAACAGCTAGTAAGTGCTAGAACAGGACCTCAGACTCAGACCTGACCTCAAACCTCAGGGTCTTATCATCACTAGTCTAGGCTGCTCCCCGACCCCGGGACCAGCAACCTTTTCCACATCAAAATTCTAGGATCCTGTGGGGAGAGGATCCTGTTTCTTCCCAGGATAAAACCACAGTTCAGAGGGCTTGAGGCTTCCCCAGAACCAGGGACAGTCTGGGGTGGTGGTTGGGAGATGAGGGCAAGTGTACACAGACTGCCTGGAGCAGAGCAGGCTCCTGGGTACCTCTGTAAACTGAATGAATGAATGAGTGAATGAATGAATGAGTGCCAACTCCATGCCAGACTCTGCTCACCCTGCCATCCCACCAGAGGCTTGGTTTAGAAGTTGCTAGGCATGCAGCTACCCAGTTCATGCCAGCACGGGTGGGGGGGTGTGAGCCCCAGGAGGGGCCCTGATTGGAGGAGCTGCATTCTTGAAGTTTCTTGCTGCTGAGGGCTGACTTCCCTATTGCATCCCCCAACTCCCAAGTTCAGCTAAGTTTGTACCCATGGGTTCCTGCATTGCTGGATTCTCCCCTAGCCTGAGGGTTAATGGGCAGCAGGGTCACCCTGGGCCCACTGTGGGGCTGAATGCAAGAAGTCCCCCAGTAGAAAGAGGAAACTTGGAGGGGTGAAGCCAAGCTTTCCCGAACCTGGTGCCCCCACCTGTCTGACAGAGATGGGGGGTGAGCACTTGGTCTGCTGGCTGAGCTACGGCCCCAGATTCTAGAGCCCATGGATTCCGGAAAAGTCACAAGCTGACCTGTCTGGCTCTTCACACTTCTATCATCACTCAGAGCATCCCTTTCCAGGGTTGAGTTTGGAGCGTCTAGGTTTGGTGAGAATGAACAGGGCCACTTCTGACTCTCCTGGTCAGCTCACATGCAGGTGGCTCTAAGCCCAAACCCAGAGCCCTTCAAAGCCCAGGGGAGCCTCAGAGTAAAGCCTGGTGGAAGATGGGGCGTGACTGGGTTGGTGACCCGGGTCTGGGCAGTCCTCAGGGCAGCCCCAGAACTGCCTTCCTAGCCCCAAAGACTGGGGACTCTACACGGGAAGTGGCATACAGTAGGCACTTGATAAATGCTTATGGCAAGAAGGCTTGGAGAGATCTGGTGTTCCCAATCCCTGGGCAGGTCCAAGTCAAAGCTGCAAGGGGCTTCTGCCTGGGGGGACCCCACACCAGAGGTGGTGGAAGCGATGATGCTCATGGGCCTTGGGACTCCTCGGGGGGTCTAGAGCCCTGGCCATCCAGGAAATGCTTGTGGTCACCGCCAGGCAGCTGTCCTGGGAGAAGCCTCTGGAAGTCCCTGGAGGCGGCCTTCCCCTGGCATGCCCCCAACCCTGACACCATGGAGATCCCTTAGGAGCCCCACCACCCACAGTGAGATAATAATGACCATAATGAGAACAGTCACCCACACATGTGCACAGCACTTTACAGGTTACAAAGTGTTTCACATACATCATCTCATCAATTCCTCACAACAGCCCTGTGAGGTAGGCAGGGCGGGGAGTAGCGTTTCCGTTTATACAGATGTGGAGACTGAGGCCCAGAGAGGCTCGATCACCTGTTCGAGGCCACACAGCAAGTCAGCAGCAAAGCTGGGACCAGAGTTAGGCCTCGGCCCCTGGCTCTCTCCACTGACTGTGCTGTCCTCCAGGAGGACCCCAGCCCCTGTCCAGAGTCTGAGCCACACCCGAGCCAGGCCCCGCCCCCTGGCAGTAGCGCTGCCTGGCAGCTCAGCAGACAGGCCCTCATCCCCACTGGGCAGCCCTGTCCCCTCCACCCGCTCTCTGCAAACAGCCAGCCCAGAGCTGGGCCCAGACCCACCACCAAACCTGCTCCTGGCGACTGCCCTGGCCGGGTGGGCAGGCAAGTGGGGCTGGAACCTCCTTCCCTGTTTTCCTGAGTGATCCCTCCCCACAGGGGAAGAGAAGAGAAAGGAGGAAGAGAAAAACAAGAAACTGAGTTGGAAGAGGGCCCTGGAGCAATCAGGACGTCAAAAGTTTGCATTCCGACTAGCTATAGGAAATAGTTTTTTTTTTTCTCTTTTTATTATTTCAAGTTTTCATAAAAATCCATAATTACTGAAACCCAAGTTACAGAGGAAGTTCGTAACCTTTTTATTGAATTATTGACTGTGCCGTGTCAGCTTCCGACTCCAGTCTGTCAACGTGTGCCCCTGTGCAGGTGGGGTCCCCAGACCTGGACTTCTGAGGTCCTGGTAGAAAGAGGGCAGGCGGTGAGGGCCAGCGGGGGCAGCAGGGGACGGCGTGGGAGGGAGAAAAAGAGTGTGTGTGGAGGGGCTGGGAGGAGGTGGGAAGGACTGGAGAGCGAGCGGATGGCGGCCAGGTCCCTTCCCCTGCCCGGCACGCCCCAGGGTCCCCGCCCCCCGCCCCGGCCTCATATCATCTTCATATTGAACTTGCGAGGTGCGTCGGCGGAGCTGATGCCTGCGTCCGACTTGCGGGGCACATACTCAATCTCGATGTTGTGCTTGGTGTTGCCCTTGCCCCGGCTCCAGAGAAACAGCAGCACCAGACAGAAGAGGACGACGCCCAAGAAAGAGATAAAGCCCATGGTGGTGGCGATGATGAGGGTCTTGATGTCGAAGGGGAAAGGCACGGTGGCGCGGGTGCTGTTGGCCTCTCCCTCGCCCGGCTGGTTGGAGATGAAGGCGAAGGTCTTGTTGGGCTGATGGGGCCAGTCGGGCGAGTAGCTGCGCACGTGCAGGTGGGCAGGCATGGAATCGTTGCCGCCCGCGTTGGCCGCGATGCACAGGTAAGTGCCGTTGTCCTGTACCTGGGCGTAGCGCACCTCCAGCGTGCCATCTGGGAAGACCGTGAGCCGCCCGTTGCTCTTGGCCGAGACCAGGTGCTTGCGGGGCGAGAGCCAGAGGATGGCGGGCGGCGGGTCGCCATCTGCCCGGCACACGAACTGCACTGTGTGGCCCTCATCCACAAACACCTGCTGGGCCTTGCGGTCCCGGATGCGGGCACGGCGGCAGGTGAAGTAGTTGGGCAGGAGCACATCAGGGAAGTCCTTGAACTCCTTGCCCTGGACGAACTCGGGCGTGGCACACGTGGGCTGCTGCCGGTTGAAGTTGAGCCGCCAGCGGCGCCGGAACACCCACAGGAGCCGGCAGTCGCAGGCCAGTGGGTTGGAGTCCAGGATGAGCGTCTCCAGGTTGCCCACCGAGTGGAAGGCCGACTCCTCCAGTGTGGTCAGCTGGTTGCCGGAGACATTGAGCACGCGCAGGTAGTTGAGGCCGCGGAAGGCGTAGGGCTCCACCACAGCCAGCTGCCCACCCACCAGCTGGATCTCCTGCAGCCTTAGCAGCTCATGCAACATGGAGCCCTCAATGGTGTTGATGGGGTTGTAGGAGAGGTTGAGGAAGCGGAGATAGACCAGGTGGCGCACCGCCAGGTAGGGCACAGCAGTCAGGTTGCAGTGCGTGATAGACAGGGATGTCAGGTTGAGGCCGTAGAGACAGTTGGGAGTCATGGTGTCCAAGTAGGGCCAGTGAGAGATCTCCAAGACCTTGAGCCGGTACAACCTCTTGAAGGAATAGTCCCGGATGGCATTGATGTTGAGGTGCCGGAGCCGCAGGACAATGAGACCGTGCAGGTGGGACAGCGCCTCGGTGGGGATGGAGGTCAGGTTGCATTTCTCCAGCGTCAGCTGCTCCAGGCTGTTGAGGCCGCTGAAGGCTCGGTGGGAGATGTAGACGAGGTCGTTGTCGCCGACTTCCAGTGACTTGAGGTTGTACAGGTCCTGGAACATGTAGTCCAGCAGGATGACGATCTTGTTCTCGCTGATGTCCAGCTTGGTCAGGTTACTGAGGCCGGTGAAGACGCCCAGGGGGATGAGCTTCAGGCGGTTGCTGCGGAGCCCCAGCGTCCGGAGGTTGAAGAGGTTGTTGAAGGCACCAGGCTCCACGGCGCTCACGATGTTCTCATTGAGCTCCAGCTCCTCCAGGTGCGGGAAGCTGGCAAACTCGTCCTGGTTGAGCATTTTGATGCGGTTCTTGCCCAGGTCCAGCAGGCGGGTCTCAGTGGGGATGCCCTCAGGCACCGCCACAAAGCGCTTGCGGTGGCAGAGCACTGCGCGGTCCTGGGCGGAGCACTCGCAGCGGGGCGGGCAGCCTGTGGCTGAGCCTGACAGCACCGAGCCCAGCACCAGCAGGAGGATGGGCTGCCAGCAGGCCAGGAGGGGGCTGGGCATGCTCCTCACGCCCCCCGCCAGCATCCTCTCGCTCACCTGTGGCCAGAAGCAAGCACAGGACAGAGGGGGCGGTTAGAGGGCAGTGTCTGCTGGACCCCCGCCCAGAGCCCGCTGTGCCCTCTGCCCTCCTGCCCTGTCAGGATGTCCCTGACACACAGAGAGAGGCAGGGGTCCAGAGTGGCATATGACACCTGCCTGGGACCCCACGGTGAGGTCCAGATGCCCAGGCCAGAGGGCCTCCTGCCACCCCATGCTGCTTCCTCCTTGCCCCTTACCCCACCCAGAGCCCTCCTGAAGGACCCTCCGGCATCCCAGGATCCAGGGGGATCATGGGAGGGGCAGGGTCACTTCAGATGAGCCTGGTGTTGGCACCCTAGGCGGCATCCACCTCCTTTCCATTTTACATTTTACAGACAATGCAACTCCAGGCATGCACCTCCCACCCCACCTGGCACCCTGAGCCTCAGCTTCCCCTGGTGTTCATCAGGGATAAAGCGAGACCTGTTGAGTTGCCTTCAGGGCTCACAGAGGGAATCAAAGGGGCTCAAAGGCTGAGGCTTCTAGGAATAGCCAGCAGAGGAGCACGTCTGGGCCCCAGCGTGCCAGGCAAGGGCTTCTGAGGCCGCTGGGGCCCACCCTCTCAGAACTTCAGCCTGAGCATCGCCAGGCACAGACACCACGGCTCCCTCTCCATCAACACTGTGCTGAGCTCGAAGCCCAGGAATCTTGGGCAACCAGCATACCCAGTGGTTCCCGCCAGTGTTTGTGTCACTGCTCCCCAGTGGGGTTTCTGGATCAGTGGAGGGTACCCCCTTCCAGAAAGCCAGGACCCAGCCGTAGTGCCTCCCTGGGGAATCTTTCCAACTCTACCCTTCGTCTGGGTCCCCATGGTGACCCACCCAGGCTCCTGAGCCCAGGCCCCTGCTATTCTTTCCTCCTGGAATGTCCCTTCCCCCGGTGTGTTGAAACCATCTTCGAGGCCATTGCTCTGAGAAGCTTTTTCTGATCCCCAGTTGAAAGTGTACACCCCTTCAAAGACTCCCCCCAGGCTTCATCCGTCTGTCTCTCCGGCTTCCAATCACCCTCCTCCTAGTACCAGGGTTCTGTGCAGCTGCTGGTCCGATGGGGGAGCAGTCAGACCCCCACAGCCCAGGACGGCGCAGGCAGCCCTGGAGGTGCCGGTCCACACTGGGGCAATGGGGACGTGAGGCTTGTTACAGCTGGGTCCTGAGGAACGTGCAGGATTTGGGTGGTGATGACAAGGGAGACGGTGCCAGGATAGGGGTCCAGCCTGAGTACAGGCTGCAGGTGGTGTGAGCGAGGGGTGTGCGGGAGCTCGCCCCCTGATTACTCTCTCCTAGCCCGCATTCAGGCCACTTGCTCCCACTTCTGCTAGACTGCTCTTCCCTCCTCTATCTCTGTTCCACCCTATGGGAAACCGGCCCAGCAGGGTCCTTAGGGGGCTGGGAGGACTAGTCTGGACTCCTTCAAACTCCAGAGGCTGGACCAGACGGTCTCTGGGGGCCGAGCTGAAGCCCTTCTACTGCTAGTGGGGGTGAAGATCCATCCCCCCCAGCCTGGCACCCTTGGGGCTCTGCTGCCATCCACACAGCCCACACTCATGGCCCTGAGGGGACCTCACTGTAGGAAGGGGATGCCCAAGCTGGGAAGGTCCCATCTCTCTGCCCCAGCTCAGGCCCTTCTTCCACCCCGTCAAGCTCCTCCCCACACCTGCACACAGCCTCCACTTCCAAAGCTATAGTTCTTATCATCTGCACTTCAACCCTTATGGCAACTGGGGCTCGGAGAGCTTGTGGCTACCCAAGGACACCCAGCCGGTTGAGGAGGTAGATTTGGGTCCAAGGCTCTGGTCTGTCGGACTTCAATGACAATGCTCCAGCGGTCTCCCAGGACTGACAGGCACTCCCTGGTTGTTGATCGACTAAGTGACTGATTAACTAGAGAGGGCTCCCGGTGTCACTGACATGTTATAGAATCTGCAAGGTTTTGTTATTCCCAAGGGCTCTGTCCACCACCACTCCCTCCCCTCAGCCCCTCTCATCCTCTCTCCAGAGTTTTCTGTGGTTTGGCCTCCCCCACCCCACCCTCATCAGGCCATTTTCCACAAGTCACACATGCTCCAGTGACCCACCAGAAAAGCAAACATCCTGACAGGCAATCAATAAGTAATTGGGACGGCAGCTGGGGCTGGCGCAGGTGTGAGCTTGGGGACTGGGAGAGGTAAATAGGACTTTTAGCACCCAGCTCACCACTGCGCTGGGGCGTGGGGTAGGCTGATGGAGAGGGTGCTAAGGAAAGAGAGAGGGGATAGCGAGTGCACAGGCTACCTTGAGATGTCGGTAAGACCCTCATACAGACAAGAATCTGGCATACGAAGATTCCACCCCCTTGTCTCAACCTACCCATCTACCTCCTCTCCCACCATTCCCCCCAGGGAAAACACCCAGGTATCCCAGCCTTGTCCAGCACATTCCTGGCTCTAAACCATCTCCTTTTGGAGATCTCTCCCAGACTCACTGCCCCGGCAGCCTTTGTGACCATCCATCCCAAAGGCCATCTCCTCCATGAGGCCACCCCTGATCTCCTCAGTCAGAAATTATCTCTTGCCCACAACTCTGAAGTACCTTAGATTTATTAGTAATGACATTATGTGACTGATGTATAGCACATCTCATTCTAAAAATGATTTGAGCCAACGACCAGAAAAATTTTGTTACAAGATGATAAGAAGATAAAGCTAAAGAAGGCAAGCCAGTCAAGAAAGAAGGTCACAAAATCCTATATAATGACTAAAGATGAGAGCTTCCTAGTGACCTGAGCAAAGAGGGAAATGTGCTCCAAAGCCTCAGCATTTGGCGCCTCTCCTGTTTCATATGTTTAATCCTGGGTCAAACTCCCACAGGTACATTTCTCTCACCTGCTAGAGAGTGAGGTGCCTGAGGGCAGATGATGTGTCTGCAGCCTCAGACCAAGGTGTGGCACGGAAAAGACTCAACTGAATGTTCTTTGACAGGAAGTGTGTGTGCGTGAGAGAGTTGTTGCAGGGGCTGAAGTCATTCTGATGAAGCTGACCCTGGAGCAGGCCCACTGAGCAAAGAGAGACCTGGTGGATTCAAATATGTTGATAGAAAAGCTAGTCGGCATTGCCCTATGTGGCAGGCCCGGCAGTTAGACCCCCAGAGCAATGGGCCATACTCCACGGGACCAGGATAGCTCCAGATGGGCACATCCTCCGAATTGCCTTTTACATGTGACTGTCCTGAAAGATGGGGAAACTGAGGCCAAGAGGGGCTAACATGGCTTCCCAAGCTGGTTCAGCACACTGGGCCTGGTCTCCAGGCCGAACACCCCCACGGGGTCCCTGTCATCTAGGGATACTGGTAGGGTCGTGTCTGACGGGGTCACCAAAACTGCTGAGTGAGCAACGTGCTGCTCCCGCCCTCCTGGCACCATTAATCCTGCTGGTTATTCCTGCAGTGGCCAAGGAGAAGTGTTTTACGCATTTTAATCAGTGCTTTATTTTGGATCCTTGCCCCCTGAAGGGCTTCCCACAAGGGCAAGACTTTAAAAATCGGACCAATAAATACAAAGGAAATGAACATCGAAGGCTGGCTGGTGGGCAGGCAGAGGAGAGCCATGCCCGGGCCACAGCATACAGAGCCGACAGCAGCCTGCGTCCTCCCGACCCCAGAGCAGTGGGAGCAACCGAGCCATCAGACCTGCACTGCAGAGGGCCACCTGCCACCATCACACCCTCACTCACGTGGTGGGGCAGATACAGCCTGGCTCACTTGCTTCCCACACCAGCCACTCCACTGTGTGCCCCTCAGGGACGCCTGCCCTCTCTGCCCTTTCCCCCCGCTGTGCAGGGAGGGGCTGATTCCAGGGTCCCTGAGGGAACACACACAGAAACTGGATCTTCCCCAGCTGGAAAGTCAACATCCTCAAACCTGCTGGAGGAATGAAGACGAGTAAGGGCTCAGGCCCCAAACTGCAGCTTTACTGGGACTGGAAGGATCTGAGGTCAGCATCCCCAGTTGGGGCCTCACACGGGGGCTGTCCCTCGGGGCTCAGGGTTGAAGAGCATAGCTGGTGGAGACAGAAGGGGCATGGGATCATCCATGGGTGGACTTGGAGAACGCTAAGAGAGGACAGGGGTCATTCTATCTCCTAAGGCAGCATCTGGAGGCCCCTGGGGGCAGGGGCGTGCCTCTACCACGCAGCCAGCCTGGCCCATACGAGCTGGTCAGACGCCTACACTTAGGGAAGGGCTGGGACTAGCATCTTCAGACCACCTGCTACAGACCAGGTTTTAGGCTTTATACGCACTGTCTTAGAAACCCTCACCCAGCATTCAGAGGATACTTCCTACCCATTTTACAGATGAGAAAAGCTGAGGCTTCCAAAAGGAAATTCCTTTGCCTTTAGGCCTAGGCTACAAAGCTAGGAAATAGCAGAGCTCCGTTCCTCCTGGTCAAGCTGCCTGCCCCAAGAGCTACCACAAGGGGAGCAGGACTTCTTTCAGACACACAGGCCAGTTCAGAGCCAAAGGAGGGGCAGGCATGTCATGGCAGCGCTAGGTTAAGGCCCCCAGGGCTAAGGGAAGGCACTAGTCCTTAGGTAGCTGCATGTAGGTAACTTGCCCCTAAATGACAAAAGCTTTTCCCCAACTGTCAGAAAATGGTATGTAGAACACACTGAATTTTTTCAGTGTTTTCCCACCATACCATTCCCTTTGCCCGCTGCCACTGTCAATGCTAGAATCTCACCTAATTTGGGGTCGGCTGCAGCACAGGATGGAAGGTTCAGTTATTTTGGGTTTACAGTATCAATATTTCATGGTGTTCCCACTCAGTGCTCCTCAGGGACCGCAGGCATCCCCAGTCCACACAGGCATGAGATCCCTGGCATGGAGGTGCCCACCGCCATCCCCGGGGCCCGGGGCCCCCTGGGTTCTCAGCCTGGCAGTGTGACCTGGGGCTACTGCAACAGGCTGCTTCTTCACTGGGAAATGA